TCTTGTAAATACTTGAAGATGATGAGGTTGAGAGAGTAAAAAAATAATTTTCAAAAAAAAGAAAAGAAAAAAGTGTAATGGCATTTTCGTAAATAATGTGAACAGATGGGGTGAATAAGACAAATGAAAAATCAAAAAACAAGAAAGGTTAGTTTTGTGTTTGACTTTGAGTTTTGAGTCAAATTTGCAAAAATCCCTAAAAATAAACTAGATTTTGACCCGCGCTTGAAAGCGCGGAAATTTTTTATGAATAAAAATTTATATAATTGGGTTTTGTCTTAATTTAAAGAATATTTTGATATAAAATCAGTTCACCAAAATTTGTGGTGATGATTGTTTTTCATTAGTTTTTAGTTTCAGTTTTTATTTTTAGATTTTGGATTTTGGTTTTTAGTTTTTAAGTTTCTACTTTTCATTTTTCAGTTTTTGGTTTGGGTTTTTAATGTTTACCCGCTGAGTTAGTTTGAACTAATATTACCAACAAACAAATCTCAAATAATCGAACATCTAATCTAAAACTGAAAAGATGATAACCAAACCATATAATTTGTTTTAAAAATAAAAGTAAGCCCAACACTATATCCCATAAATAACCATCGGTTTAATTTAAGTAATGCGGTTCAATTAACTATATGACTTGTATTATTTGTAAAACTCTAGAAAGAGTCCAAATTTAAATGACAACTTGTATTTTTTATGATTAAAAATTTATATAATTGGGTTTTGTCTTAATTTAAAGAATATTTTGATATAAAATCAGTTCACCAAAATTTGTGGTGATGATTGTTTTTCATTAGTTTTTAGTTTCAGTTTTTATTTTTAGATTTTGGATTTTGGTTTTAGTTTTTAAGTTTCTACTTTTCATTTTCAGTTTTTGGTTTGGGTTTTTAATTTTTACCCGCTGAGTTAGTTTGAACTAATATTACCAACAAACAAATTTCAAATAATCGAACATCTAATTTAAAACTGAAAAGATGATAACAATTTTTTTTGAAATTTGAAATAGTTTATTTTGTAGATAAATAAAGCAAAAAAATATAACATGTGTTTTCAGCTGTTGGTTTTGGATTTTAGTTTTTAGATTTGGTTTTTGGTTTTGCTTTACATTTTTCTAATCAGTAAATTATTTCAGAAAAAATAAAACAATAAATTATTTAAAAGTTACCATTGAAATTTATCAAAACAAAGTGATTGTTATTTAAAATAAAAAATATATTAACATGTTTTAAAGTACATGATTTAAATAAATGATTAATAATAGATAATTTTTTTTGTTAAAAATATTAAATACCTTTTGGGTCTGAAAATAATAATTGATTTTTTGATCTTTTAAGGTGAAAAGTTTATTCAATGTTTTTGGATTTTTTTCTTAATACTAAGCCAAAAAACCAAAATATATAATTTGTTCAAAAAATAAAAGTAAGCCCAAGACTATATTCCATAACTAACCGCTGGTTTAATTTAAGTATAATTAGTAGATTTCCATATTCCATATTTTGATGATATATATTCTTTTAGAACATTCCATATTTGTAGGAGAAAATATGTGTTTTTGGTATACACATAGATATCTGCCGTATTTTGAAGGTAGTTTACATTAAGGTCGTCTCTTTACATTAATTGTGTTGGTTTAATTTAAGTAATACGGTTCAATCAATTATATGACTTATATTATTTGTAACATTCTAGAAAATATCCAAATTTAAATGACAACTTGTATCAGTAGATAAAAAGAATGAATCTATTTTAATAGAGTAGATATTATGACATATCATTTTTGTTAATATATGTGTGTTTTGCTTGTAAAATATAAATAAATATTACAAAATAGTTATAAAATCAGATTTACCGTATCATACACGCATTTCTACGTGCATTATGGTGCTATGTCTGGTGGCTATTATAGGCATTTTCTTAATTACGACGGTGGAGCATTAGTATCCTCTTATTGTTCATCTTATGTCTTGCATGGGAAAGTACTAGGAAAAACATTGACTCATACCAAAAGTCTTTTTTTAAGGTTTATGTTTTGTGTTTTTGCTTATATATTTGATGGATTCTAGAAAAGTAAAACTTTGAAAGGTAAAACAGTCTCTATTGAACTTAGTCATTAATCAATAAACTTAATTATACAAAAAAAATCTATAAAAGGTTGCGCTACTAAGCCAATATTTTCTTCCGTGAAGATTCTTGGAAGGTAATACCGAGAAAGTTGTACCTTGCTCTATTGTTCTTGATAATGATGTTCGAGCATTGGTATCCTCTTCGTCAAAGTCTTACATGGCAGAGTTGCACCCTAAAACCCGTCGACCTGCAACTACATCACCTATTTTTGGAATGGAATGCTTTGGAATGACTAATTCATTTAATTCCACAAAATATTTTACCAGTTAACGTGAATGAAATGGAAAACTCATTCCATCAGTTCCAAAAACATTTAAACAAAATACAAAGCAAATCACTCCAAAACAATTTTGTCAAGGAACAAATGGAATGATTCTATTACATTTTTCTACTGCATTCCTTTCATCTTGTTCCATTCCACTCTATTCCATTTATTTTTTCTACTTCTAATTTCTAGTTTTGGGTTTTCTTTTCTTATATATTATCGCATCATCTTCAGCATAGTTGCGGTATTTCTTTTATCCTGGGGAAAGTAGTTGACTATGGAGATATTTCTTACGCTTTTGTTGGTGCTAGGCGTCATTCATCTTGTTCAAGCACAGAACGAACAAGGTATTCTTCTTCTTCTTCACCTTCTTATAGGTCGACATGTTTTTGCTTAATCAGTATCTCTCTTTTAACAATCAAATATGTTTACAGGGTTTATTAATTTGGACTGCGGACTACCTGCCAGTGAACCGTCTCCTTACCGTCAGACTGAAACTGGATTGGAGTTCTATTCGGACGCAAAGTTCATCCAAAGCGGAGAAATCGCTACAATCCAATCCCAAACAAATCTACGGAATATTTTGAAGCCATACACGACGCTGAGATATTTTCCACAAGGAACACGGAACTGCTACAATCTACTGATCGAGAAGGGAAGGAAGTATTTGATCAAGGCTTGGTTTAGATACGGAAATTATGATGGTCATGACATTAAACCCAAGTTTGGTCTGTATCTTGGACCAAATCTATGGACCACGGTGGATATGAACCTAGTGAACAATAGTACAAATGAAGAGATCTTACACGTCCCAACATCGGACTCGCTGCAGGTTTGTCTTGTTAAGAACGGGGCAACTACACCGTTCATATCCTCTTTGGAATTACGGCCGTTGGGAAACCATTCTTATATCACTCAGTTGGGTTCTCTCAAGCTTATCAGTCGAAGATATTATACCACGTCAGATGACAACATAAGGTAACCTAACCTAACTTCAAACCATTTCTTTTATCTTCTTAATGCTTTGTTTTTATAGGTGTTTCTATTATGCTATGTTTCTTGATGATGCACTGTCTTAGGACTATTCAAATAAATAAACAACATGAAACATGTGATGTTTATGATTTTTGATATAGTTCAGTTTGATGAGATTTCATCAGTCCAGGTACCCGGGCGATGCCTATGATCGGCAATGGTTTCCGCGTTCTCTGTCGTGGTTGACCCACATCTCCACCACTAGAGATGTCTCGAATGGTGGAATTTACAATCTACCAAAAGCCGTGAGACAAAATGCTGCCATGCCGACTAATGCTAGTGCACCATTGACGATTGAGTGGACTCCAGAAAATCCTAATGACCAATTTTACGTGTATTTACACTTTGCAGAGATCCAAGACTTGCAGGCCAATGAAACCAGGGAATTTGACGTGTTCTTGGATGGAAATACGTTTGCTGACCTGGTAACTCCTAAAAAGTTTGAAATAACAACTATCGAAAGTCATTACCCGAGGACGTGTGAAGGAGAGAAATGCAGTTTGCAACTGACAAGAACCCAGAGATCTACTCTCCCACCTCTACTTAACGCTTATGAAATCTATAGAGTCATCCAGTTTATGCAGCCCGAAACAATTGAAACTGAAGGTACGTTTTTTGATATGTTTGAATAAGTCTCGATTAAACAGAACAACTTATATTAACTTTTGATATGTTAGAATCGGTTTAATTATGAGCTTCCAACTTAAAACTAACTAGATTTCGACCCGCACAACCGTGCGGGTATTTTAATACAAAAATATTTGAAATTATATAATAAAATTTATCAAAAAAAAGTATAATTTAATTCTGTATGCTATCCAATTTTATAATAATTTTTATACGACATATAATTTAATATAAAATTTATAAATTTGTATTTTTGTAACAATTTTTAAAAACATTATTATGTAAGATTACTAATTTATATATATTGTTTTATTTCTAAATTTGAAATCTATGTAAAAATTAATTAAGTTGGACTTACATAATACATAAACAAAATTTTGGGATATTGTTAAAAGTATTTTATATAATTTTAATTTTTTGTTTATAAATTAAAAAGGAATTAAAATTTTAATTATATTTTATGATAGTTAAAATTTTAATCAAATAATTTTTGAAACTATATCTTGAAAAAGATTCTAAAAGATTTTTAAAAGATTTTGTTAGAATTTTATTAAAACTATTTATTTGTATTTCAAATAAAAATTAAAGATATGAAAAGATATTATAATGTTATGTAAAATTTTATAAAACTTTAAATATGATCCAAACTAAAATATCACACATGAAGTGAGTCATGACTTCTCTTTTAATATAATAGATTGGATTTTGTATGCTATCCAATTTATAATAATTTTTATGTGACTTATAATATTATTAGTATAAAATTTATAAATTTTTTATTTTTTGTAACAATTTTTAAAAACATTATTATGTAAGATTACCAATTTATATATTTTCTTTTATTTCTAAATTTGAAATTTATGTAAAAATTAATTAAGTTGGACTTACATAAAACATAATTTTTTTTGGGATATTGTTAAAAGTATTTTACATAATTTTCATTTTTCGTTAATAAACTAAAAATGAATTAAAATTTTAACTATATTTTATGATAGTTAAAATTTTAATCAAATAATTTTTGAAACTATATCTTAAAAAAGATTCTAAAAGATTTTTAAAAGATTTTGTTAGAATTTTATTAAAACAATTTATTTGTATTTCAAACAAAAATTAAAGATATGAAAAGATATTATAATGTTATGTAAAATTTTATAAAATTATAGAGATGGTCCAAACTAAAATATCACACATGAAGTGAATCATGACTTCTCTTTTAATATAATAGATTGGTGATTAGTGGATTGGCAATAAAATCAGTTCACCAAAATTTGTGGTGATGATTAAAAATTTATGTAATTGGGTTTTATCTTAATTTAAAGAATGTTCTGGGATAAATTCAGTTCACCAAAATTTGTGGTGGTGATTGTTATTCATCAGTTTTTAGTTTCAGTTTTGATTTTTAGATTTTAGTTTTCATTTTTTAAGTTTCTATTTTTGATTTTCAGCTTTTGGTTTGAGTTTTAAATTTTTAGACCCGCTGAGTTAGTGTGAACTGATATTACTAACAAACAAATCTCAAATAATCGAACATCTAATTTAAAACTGAAAAGATGACAAAAATATTTTAAAGAAATTTGCAATAGTTTATTTTGTAAATAAATAAGAGCAAAAAAATATAACCTGTTTTCAGTTTTTGGTTTTGGTAGTTTTAGATTTGGTTTTTGGTTTTGCTTTACATTTTTTTTAAATCACTAAATTATTTAAGAGAAATAAAACAATAAATTATTTAAAAGTTGCCATTGAAATTTATCAAAACAAAGTGATTGTTATTTAAAATAAAAAAAAATACATTAACATGTTTTAAAGTACATGATTTAAATAAATGATTAATAATAGACAATTTTGTTTTGTTTAAAATATTAAATACCTCTTGGGCTTGAAAATAATAACTGATTTTTTTTATCCATTAAGGTGGAAAGTTTATTCAATGTTTTTTGGAGTTTTTTCTTAATACTAAGCCCAAAAACCAAACCATATAATTTGTTTTAAAAACAAAAGTAAACCCAAGACTATATCTCATAAATAACCATCGGTTTAATTTAAGTAATGCAGTTCAATTAACTATATTATTTGTAACACTCTAGAAAGAGTCCAAATTTAAATAACAACTTGTATCAATAGATAAAAAGAATGACTCTATTTTAATAGAGTAGATATAATAGTAGATTAATTCTTATATTTCCAATGTGGGATATTTATCATCAATATGCTACGGTCAAATCACAGATTTTGGAAGTCATTGACATTTAATATTTTAAAATTTTTGAAAAACAATTTGCTAGTGTATGTATATATGTGTTACCTTTTATAATTTTAGAGGCTAATAAATTCAATGGTTCATTGGATGTGTCCAGAACTAGCACTGACTTTAACTTACTCATAACTTGTATTTCAGTGGTGGCTTTAAAAAATGTCCAAGACACCTATAAATTGATTAGAATCAACTGGCAAGGTGATCCATGTGTCCCTCAACACCTTATGTGGGATGGTTTAGCCTGCAGTAACACAACTATCTCCAGACCACCAAGAGTTACCTCTTTGTAAGTCCTAAACTTCGCTAGTGCACTCACATTCTTCAAAATCTGTTAGTAATCATATGAGTCCCATCGACCCTTTAAATGTGGTTTTTAACTTTTCACCAGAAACTTGTCTTCTATTGGCTTAACTGGAACCATAGCAGCTGCCATCCAAAACCTTACACAGCTTGAAACACTGTAAGCATACTGATTGTTGAAGACAAAAATTTGTTGATGTATGTATAATAATAAAACTGAAGAAACCATGTTTTTGTTCTATAATTTAAAATTTAGGGACTTGTCGAATAATAAGTTGACTGGAGAGGTGCCGGAATTTCTAGGCAACATAAAACCGTTGTTGTTAATGTAAGTTTCTCTCAACATGCTTTATGATGGATTTTCACCTCAAATCATATTTGCCCATGTAAAGGGTTGCATTTTCACAGAAACTTAAGCGGGAACGATCTCAATGGTTCGATACCTCAATCACTTCAGAGTAAAGGCATAGAGCTACTGTAAGAATTATTCATACTATCAAATCCTTTTTCCATATGAAATAACTTGAGCTTCCTTTTTTTTAACACAATTAGAGCTTCTTTAAACCTAAGCTCTAAACCATAAACCTTCGTTGTCTTGTAGTCTCCATGGAAACCCAAGGCTTTGTCAGACAAAATCATGCACAAAACCACAAAGCAAGGACTTTCCGGTGGTAATTGTTGCAACTGTGGCTTCTGTGATCATTCTCATTGCCGTTTTGGGTCTTGTTTTTCTTCTTGTTCTCAGAAAGAAAAATCAATACACTACTATGCAAGGTAAACTATCACCTAGAAAATAAATCATTTAAAGCCTCATTCTCATGCGAACACTCTTGTTTACAACTCCTAATGTTTTCTCTTATATATACACAGCTCAACAATTGCCACCAAGTATGCCGGCGGCAATGGTGAACATTGCAAATGCTAATTCACACGAACCGTTAAACGAGATTAAAAGGAGAATGTTTACATATTCAGAGGTCATTAAAATGACAAATAACTTCCAAAACAATTTGGGTAAAGGAGGGTTTGGCATGGTGTATCATGGTTTTGTAAATAGTTCTAGACAAGTGGCCGTTAAAGTACTCTCCCAATTTTCAAGTCAAGGCTATAAAGAATTTAAAGCAGAGGTATTCATAGTTATGTAATCTTCTCAACTAAATGATGATATGTTTGTTCGCATCACAAGTGTTATGTATTCAAAATATTCTTGACATGGTTTTTACTCTTACCTTAGGTTGATCTTCTTCTGAGAGTGCACCATACAAATTTGGTGACCCTTGTCGGGTATTGCTATGAAGAAGATCACTTGGCTCTCATCTATGAGTTTTTGCCCAATGGGGACTTAAAACAACATTTGACCGGTAATATATTGCTACTGATTACATGTCTCGCATTAACATTTGAAACTCAAAAATTTGAACGGATCTAACTATCTAGCATACAGGAAAAGGAGGTCGACCCATCATGAACTGGAGTATTCGACTAAGAATAGCTTTGGAGGCAGCATTAGGTTCGTACTATTAAGTCAAACACCATGATACCATTGGATTTACGATACATAAGTTAAAACAGATTATACCATTGTATAGGATTGGAGTACTTACATATTGGATGCACACCTCCCATGGTTCATAGAGATGTCAAAACTGCCAACATATTGTTAGATGAAAATTTCAAGGCCAAGCTCGCTGATTTTGGGCTCTCAAGATCTTTCCAAGGTGGAATCCAGTCTCATGATTCCACGGCAGTTGCTGGTACTCTTGGATACCTAGATCCTGAGTAAGTATTATTATTTTTGAAGTACACACATACAAACTTATTCTTATACTTTCAGACGTTTTGTTTCTTCTTAACTGTTTCAAAATATATACTGTGTTATTGTCTTGACAGATATAACCAGTCAGGTCGATTGGGTGAGAAAAGTGATGTCTACAGTTTTGGAATAGTGTTGTTGGAGATGATCACAAACCAACCTGTGATTAATCAGACGTCTGAAAATTCTCATATAACAAAATGGGTGAGCTCTAAGCTTATCTGTGGTAATATTATTGAGATTATGGATCCAACCCTTCGCAAGGATTACGACTCTAATTCTGCATGGAGAGCTGTTGAGCTGGCAATGTCATGTGCAAATCCTTCTTACTCAAAACGACCATCCATGTCTCAGGTGATTAACGAGCTAAAAGAGTGTATCATGTGTGAAAACTCAAGGTTAAGTAATAATCAAGGCTTGGAATCTCAAGCAATACGCATTGGCTTGGACTCTTCGGTGGTTCCTAAGGCAAGATAGTTTTCGAGTGTTTGTCTACTTGTGGTACTAATAAAGAAAGCAATAAATATATAATTAGTTACATTTTCAGGATATTTTGTAAACTAGTCTGAAATTTTTATTTTGCTTTGGTCGTTGACATGTCCAGATCATATTATCTGTTATTTTGGTAATTTTTGGGTTCTTCATATGTGCATGAGTACGACGAACAGGTCATATTGCTTTAACCATCGGCATTTCAAAGATCATTTTCTGTTTTTAGTTACTTTGTGTTTGTTTACTCTTAAGTTCCCTGAAAGTTCACAAAATGAAACTAACTTGAGAAACTTATGCAGAGAAATCTACAAGATACTTTTTACTTGAACATCTGAAACAAAAGTAGGTCTCTCAATCCTTTACAGTTCTTCATACTACGCACACCAATGTCAATTACCAAGTTCTTGATAACGATGTCTAAAAAAATTTCCCCATTGTGAAATTTCACCAGAAACGCATTTACTCATTCTTTTCATTGACTTAAGAAAGTCTTTGTTTTGCTGTCTTTTTTTTTTTTTGACTTGTTGATATAACCACCTGCTCAATGGTTTTCTAGTTTACTTTTTGCCTTGGAAGTAAGAGAATATGGAGGGTTCACGTTGGCTTTTGTTTGCCCTAAACAGAAATATCGGCCTTGGAACTACGTCCAGTTAGTTATGATTCTTGTATGACTACCTTCCTTCGTGCTCTATTGTTTACTGAAAAAGTGGCTGTGATTTCTTAGTCACTTATATCTACTCTTAAACAAAATCATTAAGCTCAACTTAACCTACTCATCAATGAGTGAGAGGTATCAAACAAATAAAGGACATTCTTGTTGGACTGTCTTAATTTGTTATAGAATTCACTGCCCTTTAATGTACCGATTTATTTATTGCTCAACGCGCTTCTGTGTCTGCTCCTTATTAATCTGCACCTGCTTTTCGCTTGGTAGAGCTCTCACTAGAAAACACATTCGTTGACTTGTCGAAAGTCTTTCTCTTCCTATATGGTCCGAGTTTGTTTATTTAAATGCTGTTTTATCTTCAACAGCATAGACATCCGGAGTTAAGAGAATATGGATACTTCTATTAAACTTTTGTTGGGGCTAACTGCAGTTTTGGCCATCATTCATATTGTTCAAGCTCAAGACCAAAAAGGTATAAAGTATCTTATTACATTCTACACATTCTTCCTGCTTCTACAAACGTTTTTTTTTTTTGCTTGACCAATTATGTTACAAAACGTTTTGGTTCTCACGGTCTTAACGGTTAATGTTAACCATATATATTAATGTTGACAAAAAAAAAACATATTTGTTAATATAGGGTTCATCAGTTTGGATTGCGGGCTACCCTCGAATGAATCTCCTTATAAACATTCTAATGGACTGTGGTTCTATTCGGATGAAAAGTTCACACAGGGTGGAAAAACTGGTCGAGTCAGAGAAAATCCTAAGGGATACGCCAAGCAATACACCACGCTGAGATATTTTCCAGACGGAATACGGAACTGTTACAATCTGAATGTGGAGAAGGGACGCAGATATTTGGTCAGAGCTATCTTTGTGTATGGAAATTATGATGGTCTTGGTATGAAACCGGTGTTTGATCTTCATTTTGGACCTAATATATGGGCCACGATAGACTTGGAGAAAACAGCGAATGGTACAGTGAAAGATATGGTACACGTTGCAACATCAAACTTGATGCAAATTTGTCTTGTCAAGACTGGAAAAACTAAACCTCTAATATCCGCTTTGGAACTGCGGCCGGTGGGAAATGACACTTATATCACAAAGTCTGGCTCCCTGGCTAATTACTTTCGGTATTATCTTAGCGAGTCAAGCTCTCAGATCCGGTAAGTCTGCTTCAAGTAAACAATGCCTCTTCTTTCTTCTCTGCTGAATTTAGAAACCATAAACATTTCTTAAGAATTTTTCAAAAAAAAAAAAATCTTAATTTGGAGATTTACAAATAAATAATATCTAAAAAAAATTGGGAGTCAGTACCAATGTTTTATGAGGATTGGCCCAAATCCGACCTACTGGTGCTTTTCTATCTTTTTTTGTCTTTCACACTTCTTCCTTTGTTTCCAACATGGTGATGTTTTATCAGGAACCTCTCTCGATGCATTTAAAGCACCTCCAATGGAAGTCCTTAGGAAGGAATCCTTAGGGAAAAAATAATTAAATAATCAGTAGACCCTACAAAAAGTTAAGGATTCGATCTTTAAAATCTCTAAATAAGGATTGTTTCTTAGTGAATCCTTACACTATTTGCGGATCTCTCGGACACGTGACAGCCCGCGAATGGTCATCTTTTTTTTCTTTAAAAAAAAAAAAAATCTAAAATATACTTACCAAATCCGAAATACCATTTTTACTAAGTATTCCAACGTGTAACACCGTTGGAGATTCTCTAGTTTAAGTACTGTCTCAGTCTATAAATGCAATAAAAGATGTCATATACTGATATTTTATGATAATCAGACTTATAAAATGATATTGTTCATCGATTATATTCATTTCACTGCTATAGAGAACATTGTTCCCCACCCGCAGGTACTCCAATGATGTCTACGATCGAATATGGAATCCATTATTCATGAAGACATGGACACAGATTAATACTACACAAAACGTGGACAATTCCAACAGCTTTGATACACCGGAAATCGCACTTCAAACTGCAGTCACACCTACTAATTCCAGTGCGCCATTGACGATTCAATGGACTTCAGAAAATCCTGATGAAAGATATTACTGTTACGCACACGTTGCTGAGGTCGAAGATTTGCAGGCGAATGAAACCAGGGAATTCAACGTGACATGGAATGGAATACAATATTATGGCCCTTTTGTTCCAAGAAGGGGGCTCGTAGATACTATCTACACCTTGTCATCGAGAAGCTGCGATGGAGGGAAATGCAGGTTCCAGCTGATAAGAACCGACAAATCAACTCGTCCACCTCTACTTAATGCTTGGGAAGTCTACACTGTTATTCAGTTTCCACAGTCCGAAACAGATGAAAGCGATGGTATGTGACTTTCTTTTACAGGTTAAATATGCATATAAGGTCTACGCTTTCTTATGTTGGTAAAGAAATAAAACAACTCTAATTACAATAGAGTACTCAAGACATCAAAATCTTTTTATGTCAGTGGGTGCCATTAAAAGCATCACAGCCATCTATGCATTGAGTAGAATCAACTGGCAAGGTGATCCATGTGTCCCTCGACAGTTTAGGTGGGACGGTTTAAACTGCAGCAACACGGATTTGTTCCTGCCACCAAGAATCACTGCTTTGTAAGTCAAGTTTAGTGGTACAAACACTCTTCAAGACCTGATTGTAACTATGATCATTCAAATTTTGAATGAAATTTTGTGACATTTCACTAGAAATTTGTCTTCAAGTGGTTTATCTGGAACCATAGCCGCTGCTGTTCAAAATCTTACGCAACTAGAAACACTGTAAGTATTTAGTATTATCATTCTTAGAAGGTGGAAATTTAGTATTATACGAATGGGAATAAATTTCACAAACTTCCATTTATATATTCTCTATTTCCAATCATTAGGGACTTGTCCAATAATAACTTGACGGGAGGGGTGCCGGACTTTCTAGGCAACATGAAATCGTTGTTGGTCATGTAAGTTTCTATCAAATATTCTCTTACGCTTTTAAAACCCCACCTCATATCATGGTTGTTTTTTAACAGAAACTTAAGCAGGAACAATCTCAATGGTTCAATTCCTCAAGCTCTTCAAAGGGAAGGACTAAAACTATTGTAAGAAACTCCCCACATAGAAAGAAAAAAAACTCTCCACATAGACGTGTAAACTTTTCTCAGTTGTTATCCACAAACCTTTTGTGCATTTGAATTTGATGTCCTGAACAACCCTTTTTCTCGTAGCATTGAAGGAAATCCAAGGCTTTGTCTCTCTGATTCATGTAAAAAACCACATAAGAAAAAAATAATTGTGACAATCGTTGCATCAGTTGCTTCTGCAGCCATTGTCATTGCTGTATTGGTTCTTTTATTTGTACTCAAGAAGGGAAAGCCAGCGATTCAACAAGGTATTTGCAAAAAGACATCAAATAAGAATACATGTAAAGTGTGGATGTGGTTGATATGTTGCATTAAAACAAGATAGACGAATAAAAAATGATATGATAACATCCTTAGTCTGATGAACAGGTCTAGTGAGGACGTCAACTATGAATGTTACATTTGCTGAAAAGAACAGCAGAAAGTTCACATATCCAGAGGTCATCCAAATGACAAATAACTTCCAAAGAGTTTTAGGTAAAGGAGGGTTCGGTATGGTGTATCACGGTTCTGTAAATGGTTCTGAACAAGTGGCCATTAAAGTACTCTCTCAATCTTCAACTCAAGGATATAAAGAATTCAAAGCAGAGGTATTCATAGTTTTGTAATCTTCCTTTCTTACCTATGATTTTCCTTATCATCAATTATTCATTTTAGTATTTTTATTGGCATGAATGTTACCTTAGGTTGATCTTCTTTTGAGAGTTCACCATACAAATTTGGTGAGTCTAGTCGGGTATTGCTATGAAGGAGATCACTTGGCCCTCATTTATGAGTTTCTGCCAAATGGAGAATTAAAACAACATTTGTCAGGTAATACTTTCTAGTGCTTTTCACATTAAACTCGCATGTATCTAACAATCTAATATATAGGAAAAGGAGGTAGATCCATCATCAACTGGAGTACTCGACTCAGAATAGCTTTGGAGGTAGCATCAGGTTTGTACTAAGGTGAAATATAGGGCAATATATGGCTTCCTTTTTGCTTACATCAAATCAATTGACATAGATGATTTTGTTGCATAGGATTGGAGTACTTACATATTGGATGCACACCACCGATGGTTCATAGAGATGTTAAAACTGCCAACATATTGTTGGATGATAATTTGAAGGCTAAAATTGCTGATTTTGGACTCTCTAGATCTTTTCAAGGTGGGGGCGAATCTCAGGATTCCACGGTAGTTGCTGGTACACTAGGATACCTTGATCCCGAGTAAGTATTACAAAATTTGGCATACACACACCATTGTTCTGGAACTTCATTTCATTCTCCAGTGGTAAAAATATATATATGGTAAAAACTCTATAAATTAATAATGTTGGGACTATGATATTTTATTATTTATAAAGTTGTTAATTTATAAAAAAAATATTTTTAGATTTTTCTATTGTAAAAAGTATATTTTATATAATAATAAAATAATTGATTTTAGTGTATATACATTAATTAATTTTTTAAAATTCATTATTCATATTGGTTTTATTATAATATTTGTGTATGAAAAAATATGTTTCATAAAATTTAAATGTGGTTATATATATAATTTTAATAATACTCGTCAAAATGTATTAAGTGTAAAGAAAATATAAAGATAATTCAATTATGGATATTAAACAAACAATATAATTGTTTATTTGTATTATATAACATGTATACACATATAAATTATTAATTTATAACTTAATAAGACCATATATATACATAAGATTTTATAAAAAGTTATTATTACTATTTTTTTACATTTGTGTCATATTTCCAACCGGTCCAATTTGGAACTATAAAAACTTATTAATTTATCGATTATTAATTTACAAGGTTTCTACTGTACTATGGTATTGTCTTGCAGATATAACCATTCAGGTCGGTTGGGTGAGAAGAGTGATGTCTATAGTTTTGGGATAGTATTGTTGGAAATGATCACAAACCAACCTGTGATTAATCAAACCTCTGACAATTCCCATATAACACAATGGGTTGGCTTTAAGCTTAACCGAGGTGATATTGTTGAGATTATCGATCCAAACCTTCACAAAGATTACGACTTTAATTCTGCGTGGAGAGCTCTTGAGCTGGCAATGTTATGTGCAAATCCTTCTTCTTCAAGGAGACCATCCATGTCTCAGGTTATTCACGAGATAAAAGAGTGCCTTGTGTGTGCAAATTCAGGGATAGGTAAGAATCTAGAATTGGAACCCCAAGAAATAACGAGCTCAGACACTTCCATGGTTCCAATGGCAAGATAGTTTTTGAGTGTTGTTTTCGTTTGTCACCAATAATGGAATATTGGAATCCACAAATCAGTGATATAGCTACATTCTTTAGCTAGTATATGTAAGCTAGTTAAAGATCGTAACTACTAAATTACGTATGGTCTTGTTGATAAACTCGATGTCTACATTTTTCATTGTGCGTTGATAAATGACATGTCTAGACCATATTCTCTGTTGTTTTGGTTTCTTCTTGTGTCTTGAATACCACGAAACAGGTAATTTTGCTTTCACCTTGGACATTTCAAAGATCTGTTACTTGGTTTCTTTCTATGTGTTTACTAACTCTTCAGTGTCACTCACGCCTTGAAATTTGTAAGAGCACTCACCAAATAACCAAAACATGTATTGTTGTGTTATAGAAACCACATTTTGATTTGATATGTCATATACTCCATATTTTCCAGTTTATTTGGTTGACGTTTGGTTCGTTGTAATATCTTTTTGACTCTTTTGAGTGTCACGCCGTGAAAATTCATAATATGCTGATGATTGAATACTCTAATTTCAATATTTATGAATGTCAATTTTTATACGGACCTAAGCATATGATTTTGCTTGTAAACTGTAATTAATCTGTTATGAACGCGTGCGTATGAAAAAACTTCCGAACAACTTTTTGGCGCAAAACTCATTTTACTTGTGTTTTAAAAATTGGCGCTTCATTACCGTAATTTCTGGCGCCTCGAGTAAATGAAAAAAACGAATTCTTATTGGCTCACACTATCACCACGCGGATCACTAACATACACCGTTGATTAAAACTAGATCAACGGATCACACATCCTTTCACTGTATACACGGATCCACAACCTGAGCCGTTAGATCTTCTACGCGATCTGATCCGTTAGCCTATAAAAGTCAATTTCACATTTATTTTTTCTCTCATCAATTCATCTCTAACTTCGATTATTCACCAGCATCAAACTTTCTCAATCGGAAAAAAATGTCGGGTCGTGGAAAGGGAGGAAAAGGTTTGGGAAAAGGAGGAGCCAAGCGTCACAGGAAGGTCCTGAGAGACAACATCCAAGGGATCACCAAGCCGGCGATTCGGAGATTGGCTCGTAGAGGTGGAGTCAAGCGTATCAGTGGTTTGATCTACGAGGAGACACGTGGCGTCCTCAAGATCTTTTTGGAGAACGTTATCCGTGATGCCGTTACCTACACCGAGCACGCTAGGAGGAAGACTGTGACTGCGATGGATGTGGTTTATGCTCTGAAGAGACAAGGCAGGACGCTCTATGGGTTCGGCGGTTAAGGGTCGTTTTTTTAGAATCGCGTTTGCGTTTCTGGGTTTAGGCGTATTAAATTTTAATCAAATCATGTGTTTGCGTTTTAATTCTGTTTGTGTGTTGCGGTAGCGTTTCGTTTTATATGTAATTACGTTTTTTATATTGTGTTTTAGCGACACAATATCAAAAGTAATCTATGGTTAAGTTTCTACTGAACTATATTCGAATTTAGTTTCCACAAGTCAATCTTATAGTCTTTTAGATTTCACCAGCTACAACAGGAGAGAAGACAAACTCTTTGAAAACACATGAAAGATCCATTAACACATGACTAGTCTTCTTATTCTTCTAACCGTCTCCCTCTCGATACTACAAGTTAATGCTCGTGCCTCAGTGGTTGTTCTAAGTAGTCTTTGAACAATAAAGGTAACTCAGCTGATCATGTTCGTGCTGTTATCTTCTTCTTGATCACCAGCAACGACAGCTTCTTCTAGCTGCAATATATAATCAAGATTCCACAATACATCTGCGTAACGTCTCCAAATAAGTACATGTCTGATTTCTCTGTGAGCTGTTGTCTTCTGAAATATTTCAGGATCAAGATAACCAAATATTTCTTTCGCAGCAGTGTGGAGATAATGCAATCTTCTAGCTGATCCAATGCATATGTCAAACTGTTATTTCCAACTCAAGCTAGGAGCCTGTGGCTCTCGTCTTCAGCGAAGTGCACTGAAAACCGGTGACTCCAAATCCAACAGTACGACTCACCTCAAACTAGGGCTGGCGAACCCGACCCGATAAAAAGGAATCCGAACCGATTCGAACCCGACATAAGTACTGAATGGATCTCGTTTTACGGCATTTCGGCGTTATGGGTTTTATCCGAACCCAAACCCGAACTTAAAGAACCCGGAACTTTAAAATTCCAAAAAAAACTTGTATCATACCCAATTTAAATTTCTAATATGTTTCCAAAACACATTAATATATTATTGAATACCTAAAATAATTAATTATGATATGAATAATTAACTCAAATTTTTAATCTAATAAATAGTGTTATTTGGTTAATATTAATGTTCATAATTGACATTACATTTGAAGTTAAAATATGAATAATTTTGTTTTGAAGTTTAAATAATTTTTTTTTTTTAAGTTTAAATAGTATTTCGTATGTTATAGAATTGTTAGTTGTTAACTTTAATTTTATATGTAAATGTATGATTTTCGTCCATATAAGGCTTTCGTTTTTCATTAATCATGATATGTTTAGTGTTGTCACATATAGTTCAATACTTTAATGAAAAGTCTTATATGCTTGATAGACGAGATTTCACAATATTATTTTGAAGGAGAACAATATAGTTTGTAGAAGATAAATACACAGATTAAATAAAACAATTGAAATATAGTGAGTTTAATTGAGTATACATTAATATTTTTAGAATATAACCTGATTAGTATCTGAAACCAAAAATATTTTGGGTTCAACTGGATTTTGGACATGTGTACTAAACTTGAACCAAACCCGACTAAACACAAACCGGATCTGACAAAGATTTTTATAATATCTGAATGGAGCTGAAATTCATGAATCTGAAGACCCAAGACCCGAACGAATTCGAACCGAAACCCGATTGAACCCGATTGCCCAGCCGTACCTCAAACCAAACTCGGTAGAAAGTTTAACCCAAAAAAGACCGGGCCTGTTAGAATGGGCCGAAACAATGGTCCGAATTAAGCCTTTTTTTCTTACAGAAAACACCCTTGTCTATATACAGGCTTTTGTGGACTCTGTCTCCTCCTCTCCAAAAGATATATTATTATATTTTTTTTCTCAAATCATTCGCCAAAAAACAATATATTATAATAATAATTATATATCGGGTTTCCATAATTCTAAATCTTGCTGGTTCTCTCCTCTTTCTATAATCCGTTTTTTCTCGATTTAGGGTACCAAATCCCTGCGATCAAAATCTCCGCTTTGCCGCACCTCATAAAACCTCCTTCCGATTCTCAATCATTTCTCCGATTCCATCTCCACTTGTTCGCGAATCCGTCACTTCTATCCTCTCCCTCTTCCTCCTTTCGTACTGTGAGTGTGTGTGAACTTATAAATCTCGCGATTCTAGGGTTTTCCAACTTCAATTTCACCGTTTTACTATTTAAAATCACATCGCTCTAGCTCCTGTGTATACTCACTCTGTTTCACAGTTACTCTTGTGTGTGTTGATTGAATTTTTAAATTGGATCCATTGTCAATTTCGATAGTCTTACATTTTCATTAATCTCCACCGATCTTATTGTTTATAGATGAACAGTATACTCTGTAAAAACCTCTTCAAGTGCTATACACCATTTCTTATCCATAAGATCTATGTGATGTATTGTTTACTGTGTCAGTTAGATTGTGAGCTTTATTGACCTTCTCAGGCTATTAACTCGTTTGTGTTTTTGTATATTTTATCTCTTTCAGATTGTTCTTGCACGCTGAATGATATTTCGTCTCGCCTGATTTTTCAGCTCCTGCAATGTCAAACCTTCATGTATACCTTCCTTTTCACAATTAAGATTTCGTTTTTGTTAAATCATGTGCACAAATTAAGCAAATCTTGCATTTGCAGTCATCTCTCAATGGTTCAGCTTCCAATTTACCAGATGGATCCGGCAGATCCTTTGCTGCTTCCTATTCCGGACAATCTGGTGCACCCTCTCCTGGTTTTCATCCTGGTGGGTGTAATTTTTTAAAAAAATATTATAGCTATTCTGTGTTCTGAACTTAAATTGTGTGTATAACCTTTTTCTTTTTCTTCATGCAGGAAATCTTCAGGGTCTGCATAACCTTCATGGGAGTTATAACCTTCAAGGTACACTTTCATCAAGAAACTCAAGTATGAATAGTCTACCATCTCCCGGTGTTCAACAACCTAATGGGAGTTTTTCCAGTGGAAGATTTGCTTCTAGTAACCTTCCTGTTCCCCTCTCTCAGGTGCATCTTGGTTCTGTCAAAACATCTGCTCCTTTTCTCTTACTATATATCTCATGTTTCAGTTATTGTTTTGTAGTTATCTCATAATAGCTCACATGGGCATTCGGGAATCCCGAATAGAGGAGGGATTAATGTTGGTAACCCTGGTTTTACTAGTAACGCTAATGGAGGTGCCGGTTCTATTCCTGGGATTCTCTCCACTTCTCCTGGACTCAGTAATCGGAATAGTGTTCCAATGGGGATGTCCCAACTGTTGGGAAACGCTGGTCCTCGGATAACAGCAAATTCGATGGGAAACATGGTTGGTGGAGGTAACTTGAGGAATATCAGCTCTGGTGGATTGTCTATGCCTGGTCTTTCTTCGTCACGAGTAAATTTCGCTGCTAATAGTGGATCCGGATTAGGTGTTCAGGGACAGAACCGCATGCTGGGTGGACTTCCTCAAGGTGTGTATGATTTATCCAGCTCTTTCCATTTTCTATCATGGAATTATGGAAAGGCACCTTTTTGCTTTTATGATTATGGGGTCTTTGGTATATTAACTAGAAAGTGCTGCTCAAATTAAGTAAAAAATTGATTTGCTATTTGAAGAAGAAATTATAACACACCAGTTGGACTTCTTTTTGCTATTGTTGTATATACTTTTTCAGGCTAATATGAGTAAAGGTAGAGAAAGCAGGCTTTTTCAACTGATTTTTTTTCACTTTACTGTCGGGTTGTATGTATTTTGTTAGACGAGACTGTTTATTTAAACTTTACAGTCTCATTTACCGAAACATGCTATGAGTTCTGCTGCATGTAGATATAGTTAAAATCTGATTGCAAGATTTTATGGTACAGGATCTCAGGTCATGTCTATGCTGGGGAATTCCTACCATACTGGTGGCGGCCAACTTTCGCAGAACCATCTTCAGTCAGTTAACAATATGATGCTCGGTGATCACTCTAGCGACAGTTCACTTTTTGACATCAATAACGATTTCCCTCAGCTGACAAGTCGTCCTGGTTCTGCTGGTGGTACTCAAGGACAACTCGGTAGTCAATTTAGCTCAAGAAATTCGTATATTATTTAATATAAAAGAAGTTTTAGAAGAAATATTTCATTTCTTGTTCCCTCATACTCTTGTCGTGTGGTTCTAGGTTCTTTGAGGAAACAAGGTTTAGGAGTCCCGCTTGCCCAACAAAATCAGGAGTTCCGCATTCAAAATGAGGACTTTCCAGCATTACCTGGATATAAAGGTGCTGGCCTTTTATTGTCAATAGCTTCCCTATTTTGAAAAGTTCTTCCATGCAATTCACCAAAATTTCAGTAAAAGCACATTTTCAGATGCTCTAAATACTTAGGAAGTCATGTAGCTTTTTTATTGCGTTCATACTATATAGGTTGTTACATCAGAAAGATTATAAGATGCTCCCCATGTGTTTCTAAATGCCATAAGCTAAACTATCATTCACAAGCGTAGTAGATTTTTTGCAGGTGGTAGTTCTGATTATCCGATGGATATGCATCAGAAAGAACAACTCCATGACAATGCTATGTCAATGATGCACTCTCAAAACTTTCCTGTAAGCTTTACACTTGTTTCAAAATTAGTAAAATGTTTTTCCGAATTTTTTTCTGTTGATATGGTTATTTTATGGGGTAATTTATGTTTATTTTGCAACTATGCAGATGGCTAGATCTGGTGGTTTCAACTTGGGGGAAACATATTCATCACATCGTCCACAACAACAGCCACAACATACTTCATCTGTAAGTGGCAGCTTCTCGTATCCCTATCTGAAATTCAAGCATTGCATATCTCATATAACTGTTATTTTGATGCCAGACTGGTGGGCTACAAGGTCTTGGCTTGAGATCGCCCAACCCAGTTTCAAGTAACGGATATGACCAGCTTATTCAGCAGTATCAGCAGCAGAGACAAAACCAATCCCAGTTTCCTGTGCAACAAATGTCATCTATGAACCAATTTAGAGATTCAGAGTTGAAATCGGCACAGGCGGAGGCAGATCCTTTCTGCTTACTTGGCTTGCTAGAGGTACTAAACGGGAGCAAGCCTGATCTGACCTCTCTTGCTCTTGGCATCGACTTAACGACGCTAGGGTTGGATTTGAATTCAACTGGAAAACTTTACAAGACCTTTGCTTCCCCTTGGACCAATGAACCTGCAAAGACTGAGGTCGAGTTCACTGTACCAAGTTGTTATTACGCCACAGCACCTCCACCGTTAACTGTAAGTGCCCTCTTATCTTGTGTGTAGCACCACCAACTATGCATTCTTTGTTATTAAATGTGTAATCATTTCTGTTGGTTGCAGCGAGCAAGTTTCAAAAGATTCTCCTATGAGTTATTGTTCTACACATTTTACAGGTTTGTTATCAACATCTCATTTGCCAACTTATGAATCATCTTTGTTCCAATCTAAAAGGTTGACTTTGTTCTAATTATTGTTTCAGTATGCCAAAAGACGAAGCACAGCTATACGCAGCAGATGAACTGTATGTTTGTTTTCTTCTCTGCCAACAATCATCATTTACTTGGCTCTCTTAGGCTGAGGCTTTGATTGATATCTTGCAGATACGAAAGAGGTTGGTTTTACCACAAGGAACTCAGATTATGGTTCTTTAGAGCTGGGGAACCTTTGGTCAGAACAGCTGCATATGAAAGAGGAACATACGAGTGCCTAGATCCAAACTCGTTCAAAACAGTCAGAAAGGTAAATCATCGACGATTATTAATATGTATTTCTTGATACTTGAATTTGCATTGCGATTAGTGTTTAATGTTTATTTTCGATGGTTATTGCAGGAACATTTTGTTGTCCAGTACGAGCACATGGAAAAGAGACCAAGCTTGTTACAGCATTGATTTCAAGTAGGTTTTGTTCAATTAATTAGCATCTTTACAATGTAAAGCTATTTTTCTCTTTTCCTCATGCATGCAAGCTCCATTGTTTAGGAACCAATCCATCTCTTTACAATTTTCAATTTTCAATCTCAAATGACCACCATATAATTATAGTTTAATCTTCTTCTTTTTTTGTGTTCCTTTCATTAATGATATTTAGTCTCCTCTTAACAAAGCATCACAAAAACGGGTAAGTAACTTGTTTAGCAACCAATCGAATTAACTAGATTTTCGTCTTCACTTTACTTGTTTAGTAATTGTGTTTGTGTCAAATTGTTTATCACCAAGGGTTCGAAGATGGGTTTAATCAAAAGCCATCTGCACTTGACGCCCGTATCTCAAAACTCAAAGATCAGAAACAGAGTGCATGTCGTTTATGTGTCAACCAAGGAGAATGCACGTCGTCTCATGTCAACAATCGAAACTTCTTGAAATGCCAAGAAAAGTCTAGTGACCTTTTTAGACTCTAGACAATAAGCGAAGGTTTTAGAAAAAGTGCACTTTCTAATTCAAGAAACTCAAAGAACGTTCTCTCTTCATCATCCACTACCTTATATATATGTACCCCTCATCTGATCCTAAGCATCAGATCAAAGAAAAACAAAAACATCAAGAATCAAAGCGAAGCAAACTTAGTTAACTCTTTCAAGAAGCAACGACGATGTCTCTAGTTCCAAGCCTATTCGGAGGACGCCGATCAAACGTTTTTGATCCGTTCTCTCTAGACGCATGGGATCCATTCGAAGGCTTCTTCACTCCTTCCGCGTTAGCAAACGCAACCGGCTCAACGGCTCGTGACATTGCAGCGTTTACAAGCGCAAGAGTGGACTGGAAGGAGACCCCGGAGGCGCATGTGTTCAAAGCCGACTTGCCGGGGCTGAAGAAAGAAGAGGTCAAGGTTGAGGTTGAAGACAAGAACATACTTCAGATCAGCGGGGAGAGGAGCAAGGAGAATGAAGAGAAGAATGACAAGTGGCACCGTGTGGAGAGGGCAAGTGGGAAGTTCATGAGGAGGTTCAAGTTGCCGGACAATGCGAAGATGGAAGAAGTGAAGGCGACGATGGAGAACGGTGTGCTTACTGTTATGGTGCCGAAGGCGCCTGAGAAGAAGCCTGAAGTCAAGTCCATTGATATCTCTGGCTAAGTCATTGGGGAGGAAGATCAATGATTGAAGATTTGGTGTGTGGAATAAAAAGCGTGTTTGATTTGAAAGTTCGTGTGATCTTTTGGTTTGTTATGTTGTGAAATTATGGCTTTACTGAAACCGTGAATGTAAGATGTTATTACAGTGAATAAAGGAATGTTTCTATAATATTTCAAGAAGGTAAGATATCATTATAAATTGAGATGGCTCATGATGTTGTGTAGTTGTTACTCCAAGCCGACAGAACAAAAATTTTTAGAAAATTGAAGGACTTACTATTATACAGACACAGTCTTGACATTACAATATAAGCCACAAGATACGGTAAACAGGAACAAATAGCTAACTAAGAGAAAACAAGTGAGACACCAACATCAAATAACCAGTGAAGCATTTATTTAACACATCAAAGCTTTTTGTCACAAATAACTAACACAAAATTAACACATTTTTTGTCGACAGTTAACACATAAACATAAATCAATCTGTTTATGGTCCACTGAAATATTTAGAACATACCTTTATGGGTCAACTTTCTACTAATATAGTGATCGCATAAAGTTAAAAAAAAATATAGTGATCTCATATTTTCTGAATGCTTTAATAATTTGTTCTGAAATATTTTAAATGTATTGTGCATTGGCTAAGATCATTTTTGATGTGTTTCGGAAGGTTTTTGGTGCACCACTTTTTGTCCACCGTTTTCCTAAACTTAGTTGAATATAAAACAATCAAAATAAACACCTAGTGCATGGCAGAAAGATGTTCAAAATAGTTGAATATAAACGAAACTTGTAAAACACTGAATAAACCTATGCGAGAATCTCCGCATGGTTTTATTGGACTCCAACAACAACTCCATAATCTATATTGTTTTAAGCTTAAAGTTGTTCCATTAATGTTTGTTACATGAGCATTTGGGAGAGTCAGCAAAAGGCATTTTCCTAATCAAGATATTCTTCTAGCTTAGCTATTTTTAATCAATACAGTTAAGAGTGGAGACTGAGCTGTGTTTTTTTTTTGTTATGTACGTTAAAAAAATAATAGGCAGATAAAAGTCTAACTAATTCATGATTTTTTTTTCTTAAATCAAGGAGGATGAGACGGAAAAATAACAGATTTCATGATGTTGATGTGATTTATCAAAACCAACTATTGATGTGATTCAACCAGCAATGTCTATTTCTTTCTTTGTTCTTGACATCTTGTGGTTGCCATTGTGATCTTCCTAAGATCTTCTTTTTTTTTTTTTTGATCAATCTTCCTAAGGTCTTTTTTTTTGTCACAATCTTCCTAAGGTCTTATAGACAAAAAAATATGTGAAACAAAGTCATAAACAAAATACGCGTGATTACCGCCAACACGAATAATTTGTAAACATGCCACATAATGAGGAGATAAGATATGTCTTACGTTTCTTTAGAACTATACCGTGAGGTTTCCGTATCCCCCAAGTCGCCCTTAATAAAAGTCATTAATGAATACATATGATAAGATTCGCTATCGTTCTCAACTTCTGTTCCCTGTTACAAATTTAATGCAATGTTTCATGTTCATTGAATTCGTAACCAACTTGGAGTTTTAATATACAACAAAAAATCACATTTAGTCAAAAGACTCCGAACATAATTTCAAACTAAAATTAGTTGCGAGACTGCGAGTGATAGCTAAATATACAACTTTGTCTTTGTTGCTAACTAAATCTTCAGACGTCGGAAACAATCATCGTATTTTATTTTGTCGTTAATAAACACAAAGTTCCAAACAAAATATCGGACGATTATAATGATATAAAGATAATATTCGATGAATAATTTAACATATTATATGATACGATCATACATAATCACTTTATGCACCTTAACCAAACCACCTAAAACAAAACAAGAATAAAATATATCACGAGAATTCTCACTCAATGGCTCTGTCCTCCACGAGATTTACCCGTAGTCGACGAACCGGTTCCGGATCCGGATCCTTTTGTCGACACACTCCCTGACCCTCTACTTCCAAAGTAAAGATCCGACAAGTAATTCCCTATATCCTCAGGGGTATATCTGACATCTCCCCCCAAACCGACCCGGTTCACCTCGTAAAACTCGGTACAAACCGGCATAACTTTCCCACTCAACGATATTTTAACCCAATCCCTAAGTTTCGGGTCGGGTACAACCCACGAAACCTGTTTCCGGTACGCCACTTCGAACTCATCATTAAACCTACCAAACAACTCTCTCGCCTCTTCCCGCGTAATCTCCTCGGCAAGATTCTCCGATAACGACGTCACCACTTTCCCCCACGCTAGCTTCTCGAACTTCTCCACGTACTGCCTCACCTTCCCCTCGTGCCTCACCACCCACTCCTCCCCTAGTAGAATCCTCAAGCCAGACGAACGCACCTTTACGACGACGTATTGAAGATTATTCGCGAGGAATAAATAAGACAACGCCACGTCCTTATACGGCTGCGCTTTACCGTCGATTTTACAGAGAGTCAAGAGAATCACCCACGCGATTCGTAAGGACACCGGAGACGAGTACATCTCCTCCGGCGGAGCATCTTCTCCGGCGGATTTTTCCGGCGAGGGAGACGGCGAGGTTAGCCGCCAGTTCTCGAAGATCACGGCGGTGGAGTCGCTGTAATCCGCGAGAAACGAGAGGTAGTTCATGACGTAGCGTGTGAGAGGGTGAACTCCGCCGCCGACGATCGGCGTCTTGGAGGTTTCCTTCTGAATCGCCGACTCGAAATCCGTCATCATGAGCCTGGCCGCGTCGCCGAGTTTAGCTAACGAGTTGATCACCTGAGTTCTAACGGTAACTGCCGAGTCGAAGTAGAAGATGGACTCGATCTCGACGAAGAGGCTCGCGAGGGACTCGTACATGTCGAGGAACCGGAACATTTTCTCGGGGGATAGTTTCTTGATCTTTGATACGTTCTCCGGGAAGGTGAAGAGAGTTAGGGCTCCTTCTTGAGTGATATCGGTGAAGGAGGATTCTGTTATGTTGGTGGAGGAGGAGAAGACGTGATCAGCAAGAAGCCTCTCTCCGAAGAAGAGGGACCTAACGGCTAGTTTGACAGCTGGCAGCCAGGATTTGATCTTGGACTCGAGTGTGTCCCAGTCCATTTTTTGGATTTGGTGAAGAGTGAAACGCTCCACGGCTAAACCGTGGAGCGTTTCCTCCACGATTGATGTACGTACGGTTTTGTAGACTTTGACGCATTCTTTGGCGTATCCTGTTGAGATCATGCAGTCAGCAATTGTTTTGAGGTCGTCCATGGCGACGGAATCTCCCCCGGAGAATGTATGTTCTTCGGAGTTTTCTTGGTGATAGGTTTCTTCTTCGGAGTCGGAGAGGCTTGTTGGTGTTGATGTGCTGAATCTTGACGATCTGACAGAGACGCATTCCGGGTCTAGATACTGTCGGTTCTCCAGCAAGACTCGGTGGAACTCAGATTCGAGAAGGTTCATTGCTGATTGCATAAGGTTCTGAGAGTAGACTAGCTTCTCAGACGTGGGGTTGACGGCGGCTAAACGGTGCATGGTGCTGTGTAAGTGTCTAACGGCTTCAACGAACTCTTGTGCTTCGTGACGACTGTTGGTGGAGAAGAGGAATTGGTCGGAAGAAGAAGAAGGAGAAGTCCATTTGGATATGACGGTGTTGATGTGTCTCATACACTCTTCTACAGCTGTTTCTGCGAGTCTTTGGTGAGGTGTTTGTTTCTCTTGTGGAGGAGATGACCGGAACAAGTGCTTCCCCATTTTATTTTACTCTAACTATGTTTTGTGTGTTGCTCTGTGACGAAAATAGTGTTTTGTTTTGTTAAGGAAGAAGTTTTTGGTTTTGGTTGTTTTGTTTGTGATCAAAGATAAGGGGAGGAAGGTATAAATACTCTATATAATATACATAAAATGTTATAAAGTATTAGTATATATAGATACGGCCAGCTTAATCAATGAAAGTTTGGCAGTGTATATGTATATATGTCTATGTACATATGTGGAGCAAAAAGGTGGTTCACTAGTCAAACGCGGTATCAAATACGACATGACATTTGGTAGAGTCAAGAGAAGAGTTTTAGTTTAGTCTATTCTGGCTAAAGTTATTACGTTCGTTGCCTTGATCTTCAGGTGTAAATGTTTCTACACTTACCGTTTCGATTATAAGTGCTACTATTGAAATGCACCAACAAAAGAAAGATTACAAATTAGAATGCATATAATTTGTGGATTCGTAACAGTAACGTTTACGAACTTTATAAACCAATGTTGTCAATTTTAAATGTCAACAGTTTTTTGTTATTTGTATGTTAGTGGTTTTCTAAAACAGATCTACTGAAATTAAACAATTTGAAAAAAGTAAAACTGTTAATTAGCCTTCTACAATACAATCTGTTAGTTAGATGCTTCTCTTTACTATTTTGGGAATCGAAGTTTGTTAGGAAGGTTCCCTGCTATAAAATGTTGAATGTTAATTTGCGTCCTGCCGCAAAATAAATTAAATCCACAGTTTTCGAAAGTTGTTCAAAGATGGTAAAACGACTACTAGGTCATAGTTTTCTCCATTTCGTAGACTATCTCCAACAATAGATTCACCGTTAGAGTTCTAAATCAATTTTTAAGTGAAAATAATTAAATTGAAAATTTTAAATATTTGTTAAATGTTAGTTTCTTTAATGGTAGAACCCATTAAAGATTCTAAATTTCAAAAATTTTAAAAAGAAATTTGATTACTTGCATCATATTTTATAATTAAAAAATTATAATTATTGAATTAAATAAAATTTAAATTAACTTAACATAAAAATATATAACATAGATTGATTGATTTTTTTTAAATACCACTTCTCACAAAATAACAAATGTTATTTAAAAATGGATCTAAAACCTCCAATTGTAGAATCATATCTATCTAAATTATGTTTTTTTAAATTTAAATTTAATTATATAAATACTTAGATACATCATTTAAAAATATTTTGGATACTCCTTTAGACATCTCTTACACGCTTAACACAAAGACGGTAGAGAACACAGTAAAAAATTTCCATCTAAAAGACTAAAAACCCATTTAAAATATGAAACTCCATCAAGGAATATAATTAATCAAATAGTACAAAAATATATGATTTTACGAAATTAAAAATATCCATACATACACAACATTATTTTCTTTCGACCTTTACACAATTTTCTTTTTCGAACATGACAAGCCAGTTCCTATTTGTTTAAACATCCAGAAATTAGTTTCTAATATATACCTAGATCTATGTAATTCGTAAAAATAGACGGCAGTACGAATCAACCGACAATCCGTTAATCAAAAATCAACCGACATCGAACGTAACGGAAGTTACAGACTCAACGTGCTGTTAACATGTAATTATATGCTTGAAGAATATTTATATTATTAGTTCTTAAGTTAGTTACCACCTAATGATATGAATGATAGTATAAATCAACCGACAATCCAATTAATAAAAAAAAATCAACCGGCAGTTGAATGAAACTGAGGTTACAAAATTCAACGTGATGTAAACATGTAATTATACGCTTGAAGAATATTTACATCACTAGGATAAGACCTGCGCCCTGCGCAGGGTGAATATATGTAATTAAAATATAAAATTTTAGTATTGACAAATTTAAAATTTACATATGATTGATTTTGTATGTATTTGAAATTTAAGAATTTTGAAATTTTTATATAATTATCTATACGTAGGATCAGAAACAATTTTAGTTAGAAATGTAGATCAAATCTTAGAATTTAATAGATCTGATTTCATATATCTTTTCACTTTTCAGTGTTCGAGTGATGGAAAATAAATGGAGTGTCACTGGGCTTGATTGGTAGAGTATTAGCAAGTTCCCTAATGTTTTTAAGAAGCAATTGGTAAAATATTTGCATTTAAAATATATAAAGTTTCAAAAATAATTTAATATAATTTATTTATCTGTCTAATAATATTAGAAAATTCTATTTCTTACAAATTATTAATTTTTAAATAATTTATAAAAAATTTCTTAAATTTTAAATCATTTTTAAAAACAATATTTTAAGTTTTTCAAATACAAATAAACAATTTAAAATTAATTATGGTCATGATTTAACATAACCATAATGATTTAAAAAAATTAACAAATTAAAAATTAACTCAGTTTTATATCATGATTTAATAATTTAAAAATTAATTATGGTTATGAGTAATTTACGTTCACGTGTCAGTCCTATTTATGTTCCATTTTTCTCTTGCTATGTTTTTTTATATTTTTGTTATTACTCGATATAAATATTTATTTTGAATTTATTCTCATTTCGTTTATTTTAGAAAATACTTAAGATTTAAAATAATTAAAGAGA